ACCTATATTTTTTAGCATATGTTAGGTGATTAGATTTGTCCAGTAGTGATGCTGTAGCATCGATAGGTATTAATTTTTTCTGAGTGTCGTTCTTACAATTATGAATCTGTTTTCAATTTCATAAAGTTTATCGAAAAATGAAGAATCAATTTTATAAATTCTTTTTTTTTTTATATAAAAGGTAGATTCCGGCAAGTTAAAATCACTCATAATTGCGTTTCTCGGCTTGGTTTACAATTTTAAGTTTATCATTCAACAAAATCACTTTAATTTTTCGTTTTAACATTTTGAGGGAACAACGTAAACCGCAGGTAGGGCACAAGCGCACATGTGCGCTGCAGCCATTGTCGTTTTAGATGGAATTACAAACAATTCCATCGAAAACAATGACGCTTTGGCTTTCTTTGTTTACAAAAAAGGATATGGTTTGGCTTGAACTTTGAGTTGCGAGTTTTGAGATGTGTATTGAAATATTATTGTAAATAGTCTCGATGGCGCAAGTGTTATTTAGCGCGTTCGGCTGCCATCGTTAAAGTTAAACAACTTTCGCAGTGGTCGGTCATTGGATGGGTGACCAAAAAATTATTTATATTATAATTTAAGTTGTTGTTTTTATATTTCTATAAGTTGAAATATATAATTATGTTTATTATTATTCAGATAAGTACATACATACCTAACACTAGAAGAAAATTTAATATAATAAGTACGTTAACATTAATTATGAATATATTATTATTTTGTAAACCTCAGTTTTATTTTTAAACTTCACTAATCTTACTTTGGAACCCGCTGTATACGCTCTTGTACGTACACAGCGGAAGGTCGACTTTAGACGTAAAACTTGAGTAATAAGTAGCCACTTAGAGAATTTTTATTTATTGATTTTGTTTGATAAGACATAATGAAACGCATATAAATAGAATGCTCATTTATTGAAGTTTTTTTAACTGTAAATAAAAAGGCATTGTATGGTAATTTCAGAAAAAACTGTGCACAAAACAATGCTCATAACTTTTTGCGTGAGTTTGATATCTGATCTTGAAAACTTGGTAATTACTGTTATATTATTTGCTAATACGATACAGTTTGGTCGTGATATTCAATATATGTAAATTACTGATATTTCAAACGAAAATTTGCTAAGTTATACCTTATAATTATGACACAGTATAATTTCGAAAAACCGGGATCAACCCGCGCGAACCCCCCGCGAAAGCGCTAAAATTTCACCACGGAAGCATCCGTGGTGAAATTTTAGCGCTTTTTCAAACTCCAAAAAGTTGTAGTTTTATATTTACAATATTTATAAAAATTACCAATTTGTTTAGGGATTTTATGTTTAATCTTATAAAAATATGTTTTTTTGGTAAAATTGACATTTGGTAGCTAATATATTCCATCTTTACTACAAAGTAGTTAATTTTTCAATTCTTCTAAGAACAAGCTCATGTTTCCGCTCCAAATATAAACAAAACGTGTTTATTTTGTGTTAGTCAGCTAGTTCATTTCATTATCTTTCTGATAATATAAGCATTGCCGAGCTTTGTTAAGTCTAAGTCGTAAAAAATACGATAAGATCGAGTCAAGTGTCCAATGGCGCGCTCAAATCTTAAGTGCGCCGGCCTCTACGGTATCGTATGCGCGAGGCCGCGCGGGCCCTCATAGGTTAAAAGGAGTCCCTTTAGGCAAGGTTCCAAAGATACTGGCAGCGTTCCCCCTTTGAATAGCTAGACTAATTCTTTGTCCGAGGTAGCTGCCAGCTCTTCGGTCTCCTGTGATGTCGACCAACCTTTTTGCTATTTCCTTTAAAAGCCTTACCAAAGACCCCACGGACCAAGACCCCTGTATTTGCATGCCTTAGCTTTTTCAGCCGCTTTGCAAGCCGCACCAGCACTGTTGTTCCATGTAGATGGGAAGATATGATTACGAAGATATATATTGATTTGAAATGTCGTATGATGTCTTGTCTTCGATAACAATCTTTACTTAGACGTAAGGCCCACGAGCGCGACTCCATTCCGAAGCTTGGCGCGTTTTATCGTTGTCATTGTTTGGTTGATTGAAATAAAAATAAATACTTCTGATAGGCCTTCACAATGCAGTCGTTAGCACCCACTAAATAGAGATTCTATTTCTATTTTGTTGGTAGATTTTCTTAATGTGCGGTAAACACAAAAGTAACAGCATGAAGTTGGTCGCTAAAGCGTCTAACTTCATGCTGTTAAAATTTTGTGTTACAGTGATGCGCGCGCATCTTAAAATTTCACTCTCATCATTTTTTCATAACGCGCCTAAAGAAGTATAACTTCAAAAATAAGGTCGCATATTTTATGGAATAAATACAAATTCATTTTCTTCACCTCGTCAATGACCCTATTATCAAATTGATAAATTAATTAGTTGCTGTTCTATTAAAATACTGTAGACTATAACGAACGAGGTTTATGAGAATTTTCAAAGAACTTTCACTAACCTCCTTTGATTCCTTTTTGCGAGTTTAGGCAAGGCAGTTAAAAATAATTCAAACAATTTTGGAGCAAATCGGTTAAAAATTTTGCTTATGGACCTGCTACCTGACCTGGTCTAAATTGCGCAGAGTCACTAACTTCTTTAGGGCAAAAGTCTACCAATACAATACGCCTCTTTCTAAAAAAGTTTGATTTTGAAATTTTGCCAAAATGCCAACCGAAGTCGTAAATGGGAACTCAGATCTATCAGACATGCATGACAACGACTTTAAACTATTAATTTGAATAAAGAAAGTGCATTATTTCTTATTTTTTAGTGATTTCTCTTTATGAAGTCGATATCTTTTTCACTTTTTATAAGCCAGCGTAACCATCAACTTGTAATAAGTTAGGTTTTCCACGACTGATGTTCATGCAAATAATTTTAGGTAAGCATGATGCAAGATTCGGACCCAATTGCCATTCGTTCACCTACCACGCTAACCCACAAAATCCAAGAATACGACCACGGTAAGACTTCCGAAAACTATCCGACTGTTACCTTACGAGAAAGTGGCGTAACATGAATTTTAATAAATTAGATTTTCTGCGACTGAAGTTCAATGCAAATAATTTTAGGTAAGCATGATGCAAGATTCGGACCCCATTGCCATTCGTTCACCTACCACGCTAACCCACAAAATCCAAGAATACGACCACGGTAAGACTTCCGAAAACTATCCGTCTGTTACCTTGCGAGACAGTGGCGCAACGTCGTCGTCGGACGAGACTTGAAAGCGTGCTGTGTGCCGATCGATCACGCGAGTCGCTGGCGCCGCGGTGTGACAAGCGCGTGAACGCGGCAGCGGCCATGATGTGTGAATAAATAGGACTGTCCCGATACTAGAGTCTACTAAAAAAAAACTAAATTTAAATTGTAATTAATATTGAAACGCTATTGGAATATTTTAAAAAATCATGATCACATAAGTACCTATATTTTACAGTGAGTTTAGTAATCTTTTATATACGGATAACGGACGTAAGAGTGTTGTGTATACTGTGCATTTTTTTTTTAACACACACCAATTAGCCTAGCCTCAAAGTAAGCAGTAAGGCTTGTGTTATGGGATACTAGGGTAACGGATAGAATACATATACAGTACATATATAAGTATATTTATATAGAAATACATATTAATCGTCCATGACTGGAGTACAAATGCTCGTATTCATCACACAAACATCTGCCCCCACCGGGATTCGAACCCGGGACCTCTCGAGTCGGCGACACCATGAAACCCGGCGTACAAACCACTCGACCACGGAGGTCGTCAAAGTCTGTGCGGAAAGAGAATTGGCGTGGTGAAAAACGGAACTAACATTAAGCTTTTTAAATTGGCAATCAAACCCAGCAATCTGTAAAACGTCAAAGTTTTGTATTGATACGGATTTGTTTGTTGTTGTGTGATTTCTTGCGGTTTTTTTTCTGTATTTAATCATGTCTAAAAGGGGTAAAACCTTACAAATACGGTAGAAAAGCACTACAGCGCCCTCCAATCTAAATCCCGTTCTCTTTCCGCACAGAGTCTAATGCGGATTTTTTTTAAACATTTATTAAATAAAATAGTTTTTAATGGGTTATATGCACTGAATTTATTTATTTATTGACATTTCGCATCCTTTGCAGGAATGCATTATCGGAATAATGACATTTTATAAACTGTGTCGAGCTACCTTAAATAAAAAAAAAAAACGAGCGACCCTTACCTTAGTCGCGTATGATGTGTAATATTTGAAATCTCACCTTGTATTAGTAAAAATACAAACTATTGGTGCGGGTTCGAGTTCCGTCCGCTGCCTGGCCCGCGTGGTTTTTTTTCTAGTAAAACTTTTCTTTAGATTTAAAAATGTAGCAGTTAAATGCTTAAAAAAAATAAAAACATAAGAAAAAATATATTAAAAAGTAGGCAATGAAACGTTAACATTAAGTAATATTGTTAACTATCGATACGAAATCAATTAAATTATTATTTCTAAAGATTTTATGACTAATATATTCTTCAAGTGTAATTACTTATAGAATAAAATATGTCTATTGATGCTTATATATTAAATTTTCATTAAGTTGACTCCTATTTGTAAATAAAACTCTTTATCCGTTAAAAAAAACAAAAACAGATAATTAAAATTGTTTTATTTTGACATGTACACAATTTTCGCTAATCTGTTATATCAAAGACTTTATATACCTACTTCAAAAAATATGTTTTCGTAAGTTCTCGACGCTGTGAAAAAGATAATTTACTATTATTGATATATTATCATCTTAATAATCAGAAAAATAATGTTTTGTTTATTACTAGCATCCCTGTCCCTGACCGATTAGCGACAAGTACCAAACAATGTAAACAAACACACAGGATAATGTCTTATGAATTCCTCACACGCACATAGTCACACTACATATAATCATATCAGCTCGTGGTAAGCGCATGCGCACATATATAACCCCCCCGCGCGGTAGAACGCGTTTAGTTCGTCAAAGACCACCGCACTGAGCGGACGTGTCTTGTTCACAGATGGCAGCTATCGACATGCTGGCTTCGGAACAGATGTTTTACGGCCACAGCCCACCGGCCGGCTTTCTGTCTGACTACACGCCGCCCGTACGGAGACAAGTGAAGCTTACATCCAGGGGTTACTCCGCCCCGTGCCTCACCGCGTCACCGTTCAAACCTCTGCAGCTAACTTTGAAGAATGCAACACGATCGTGCCTGAGAATGCCAACGGAGAAAAAAAACAAGAAAGTCGTCTTCGCTGATGACAGAGGCTTGGCTCTAGAACAAGTCAAAGTTATGACGGAGCCTTCGCACGTGCCGCCCTATTGGGCGTTAAAAGTGGTAGCCAGCCCACCGCCCGAAAGGAAACCACCACCGGCACCGACCGCCGATTTGTGGGAGATCAGATTCGTGCAACCAGCTTCAGATTACGTAGAGTTCAGACGCCGTATCACCGAAGAATGTGTGTCATTGGAGAATGTTATAGTGAAACAGAACGAGTGCGCCGTAGATGGGACTGTGAAGGTTAAAAATCTGGATTTCTCCAAGGAGGTTTTCGTGAGGACGACTTCTGACGGCTGGAGAACTAGTGAGGACACTTACTGCGCCTTCGTCGAATCGGGACCTGTGAATAAAAGTGGAAATTCCATCTACGATACATTCGGGTTCAGACTCCAGCTTCCAGTGCACTCCAGAAGGCTTGAATTCTGTGTAGGATTCCGTTGCTCAGGACAGGAATACTGGGACAACAATCATGGCAGCAACTACACCATAGAAAGAGCTTCTGTGAGGAATGCGCCCGGCGTAGCGACAGCCAGGATCAAATTCGGCAATTCCTGGACTGCTAGGTCGGGCGGCAACGGCACTGTGCCGTACTGGTGATGTGCTGTATTGATTTGAAGGTTATTGCCTGGTTATCTGTGATCTGGTGTGCCATAAGTGCTCGTGATCATACTTGGGAAGCTGGAGTTAAGCTAATGGACGGCAACGACCGGTGAGTAACATTTTATATGGTGCTGAGATCAAACAATAATGGCTGGACGTATCAATATCAGAATGTATTTTGCACGCTAATTATACTAACTGCGAGTATGAGCAAATGAAATTTGTTATCGGCAGGGTTGTTAATAGATTTTATTAACAATGAAGGGTATTCAAAGATTGTTATGTTGAGACACGGAGCTGTGTTTGCCAAACAATTAGCTGGTAATGAGAGATAATTACTTTAGGTATTCTCAAAATACATTTGTATATAGAGTGAAAGACATTCCAAACCCCGTTTTCGTTCGTTTTTGAGACAGTTGCGATTGGTGCTGCATAATTTAGTCAAATTGAATAATATCTGTTATTGAATTCGCGTAATTATAAACGATTTGTTGCATCTGTCATTCTCATTCGTTCGTGTTAAAAATACTTTTGATCAAATGATTCATAGTGTAGATTAAATACATTATCAGTATCTGGGTTTTTGGTAGGAAATGACTATTCGATAAGGAAAGATTATTCCATTACAATGCCAATAGAACATGCATGCCAGTTAAATTAACTTAATTAAGATGTCTCGTAATAATTTTCTACACGTGCCAGTATGTAATATGCAAGTCCTCGACCTTCTTGATGTTATATCGATCTACAACAGAGGTTGGTTGTGTGCCAAGAGCACAGACGATAAAATGCGTCATCCAAAATCGAGAAGCTATACTTAGAAACTGCCCCAAAGTAAACAACAATTTCAATTTATTTTTACTACCTGTTAAAAATAGGTACCTATGCCAATTGTAGTATAGAATGGATGGTTGTACTTTATGTAATTTATAGTTCGTGATGCGAATGAAAATACCTATTAAATAAGTATTTAATAGGAATTTTAGTAAGTACAAGAAGTTGAAGAAAGTACTTTTCCAATCCAACGAAAAATGTTCAATGTTGCATTAAAGCAGCTTCGAGGCAAAAAATAATTCTTCCATGTAACCAGAATTTAGTACATGAAATCGCTATAGTTACATTCCGAATTCAGCTCAAATTTCTCCTCGCTCTTTAACACAGACTAGGTAATCTTCAAATTCAAATTGCAGCATATTACAACTTTCTTGAAATGTGTATATTTTTTCCCTATTACCCGTTAAGGCCATTTTTATCGGTGGAGAAAAACGAGCGACTTTCGTCCTGAGAGCTATTAATTTTTTCAAAAAGTTGAATTGAAACGATTTTTTCATAACCACCTAATCTTTTAGGTGAAGGATAGGATTTCTTGAATATATTTGAGTTGTTTATTTTTGTTAAGGAATAATAATATTAAACAAAATGATCTGGAAGCTTTGGCAAACACAGCTTTGGCGGTGAGAATATTTTCTCACTATGTAAAAGACTGAATAATGTAAATAAAATACCATATTGCGTCTCAATAGGTACCTACTAGTTCTGGTAAATGCGAAAAGGGTGTATTTTCTGATTTTATTATTATTTATTTTTCATAAGTAAATGAAAACGATATATTTTACTTCAATTTAAAGTCATGATTGTTTGAACGTATTTTGATAGTAAGATATGCCAAAATTGAGTTAAATGTGTAATAATGGCGTATACCTAATTACCATTTGGAGCATTGTTAATTTAAAAGAAATTGTGTGATTAAAATAAATTACTCATAATTTATGGAGTAAAGACTATTAGCAAATTATTATTATTGTTAAAGTTATATTTAATGAAATAATTATATAATCACTTGTTGAATAACCTTGTATGTATATAAAGCAAAAATGATTCACTTGCGTAAATTCAGTTGTAAATATAAGATTATCATGTTTTAAGAATGCGTCATAATGACGTCAAAATCGTCAAATGACGTGTAACAGTCAAAGGGCGTGTCTTATTCGATAATACATTACGTTAACTGATTCTGTTTAGAATATCGATATGAAAATTAGATTTTAAATTGTAAATAATAAAAATTTTAATATTTTGTAATTTAAAATAAATATTGTATTATATGAATATTGCCAACATGAATGAAAATGAATGCCATTAAGTAAACATTTACATTATAATAATGCAGCAATAATGCTTTTCTTAAAATATATATATATAAAAAAAGTTATTTATGAAAATATATTTATATACCTATTCTTGTCATTATGTGAAAGGCTGTGGGATTTTATATTATATTTACAAAACTGCCGTCAAAAATTGTGTCCAGTCCCTCCATACGCCAAAAAAGCAAATTAGAAGCTGTAAATGTTTATGAAATTTAAACTTATTCTAGTCATGCATAACTATCGATATTTTTGATTTTAATACATAGTTTACCAATGTTATATAATATTATACACAGCAATTCCAACGGTAACTTTTCCTTATTAAACTTTAAAAAAGCTTTGGACGGTAGGTATCTATTATTAAATCAGGTTCCAGATCTATACTTACCAGGAAATGGACACGAACCCAATCCAAAAATATGTAGGAATGTGTTGCTTCCACATTCTAGCTAATGGTTTAGGTGTATTTCAGCAGCATAGAGGAAATAAGTAAAAAAATACGCCATTTGGTTACGACAAAATAAGTTTCAAATAAATGAAATAAAATACTGTTTCACAGAGTTTCAGATGAACCCGAAATAGTGTTTTATTTAATACGTGGTTTGCGTGAAAACATAAGGAATTCAATCAAATTGTTAAGAATTTCACAATTACTCAACTGTAAAAAAAAAAACTTAATGTATTATTTATTTGTTATCAAACTATCTATTCTGTAATTTTAAGAAAACCTAATGTGTCAAAATGTCCCTTAATTCTTTTATTAAATAAGTAAATATAATAATTACAAAATGTAAAATAAATGCACACAGCTTTTTTTTATTACAAAAAATGTTCTTGTGTGTATCTATTTGTCTATGTACTAGAATAATATTGACGAAGATTTTTAAAGAAAATAATTAGATTTTTTTTAATCTCTTCAATGTTATGATGAATAGAAAATAATCTTATACAGCAAACAGTGGTCAGTAATCGTCATTTTGTCGTGCACTTTCCAAATCTATGTCATTTATTTAAGTTTACAGTAAATGTTTTTTTTACACTTTATGAGATAAACAGATTTGCTTTCGACTGTTGTCAAATATTATGATAAAAAAAGCAAATAAAAAAAAACGGTCTTTTGAATTAAAAGTACATGTGTTCCTCTACACGAATTTAATATAAGGTCTTGTTTTAAAAATATGTTCGTATTTTTTTTCTTTTTCTTGTTGTAAAATAAACTTGTAGAAGACGAAGAATGCAAGTAATTTAAGGTGGTGAATGCAGTTTTCTCTATTATTTTAAATATATGTCAAGTATGTGTTTGTTTTGAAAGAACTGATTACAATGTAAATTTTTGAAATGTGCTAGCCAGATGTTGATTTTGTAAATAATAATTTAAAGATATATAAATAAATATTATTAGCAAATATTATATCTGTTTGATGCGTAATCAAAATCAATGATGGAAACCCTATTATTCTTATAATTTTCATTACATTTTTATAAATAATTTAAGTTTGTTTTATTTCCTTTTTCAATTAAGTTTTGTGTCCCTGATTTTGAAATTTTTTGAGTTACTACTGTTTTAAGGTTAGAGGCCGTATTAATAGGTATGATGATAATTTTTTTTCTTCGTTTATCAGGTAGATTACAGGCACGTCGACACGTTTTAGTACAATTTTCACTGAAAAATGACGTCACGAGCCCCTACTCCCGAACTTTGACGCGCTATATCTTTGTCATTTTATGTGGTTGATTGCCCGAAGAAAAAATACGTGTCCATTATTTTTTGATCATCTAACTGACGGACTAAATAGAATTTCGTGTACTGTACCCCGTCATCACCCCTATTAGGTTTATGTCTGTCATCTAAGAACTCAAAATACGACTTTGCAATTTCTTCTGTCAACCCCACAGAAGAAATTGCACCATCCACTTAACAGCGGACGTAAGCTGAGATATTTTGAGAAATAGGTATGTATTTCAAAAAAATCTATTTGCTGTCATGCGTTGACAAATACCGTGCATAGGGACAACAGTAGAACGCTGAAAATTGCGAACAAAATTGTAAGAGTTTAATTACATTTTAAGTTGATGAACATAACATAATTCTGATGTAGAGTATTCGATAGTTGGTAGAGTAGGCCCATCAGAATCCGAGGCCGCGTCGAGATGCAGCCAGAGAGGTCGAATGGGTGGGAAAGACAGGGAGAGGAGAGGACAGTTTAATAATAGTGAGAGACGAAAGGAAGAGGAGAGCAAACGAAACGAAACAGAAAATAAATAAAAGGTTTAAAGGATGGGAGTAAGAGTGTAATGGAATAGGTTTAACAATCTTGCATGAAATACAGCCATTGACGAAATACATTCAATATTAAGTGTCTCACAGACAGACGCTGATCGCGACCGCGACCGGGGTCATGGTGGTTACAGAAATACACATAGGAGAGGCCGCAGCCGCAGACCGCGTCTGCCTATGAAACACTTTAAAGGGCCCATATACGGAACGATTGATCTGTACGATCCGTCGTTTCAGACCGATCGAAACGATGGATCGACAGTGTATGTCAAGATCGTTAACGATTTACTTAATCGAAGACGATATCGCAAATCGCAACCAAATCCCATGCAATCATGAATATCGTTCATGCAATCATGAGTTCGTTTTCCATTTTAGAGGGCAAGTATTGAATTATTTGAGTACGTCTTTATCCTACCGTTTGAAACAAGTAAATGATAGATCGTTACGATCAATCATTTCATGTATGTAGTGGCATTTCTGAACGATCGATCGTTGACGATTTCCTTCAGATCGATCGCAACGACGAATCGTTCCGTATATGGGGCCCTTTAAACTTAAAGATAAAATAAACAATAGAAATTATAAAAAAATATAAATATGATAATATAAGGCGTGTAAATGTTCAAAGAGTTGGCTCTCGATGATTTCCTCCTCGAAAATGAGATATTACTTTGCCTCTATGTTTTGCATTTTTTTGTCAATAATATGTCGTATCAAATCTCCACTCTAGACGTCCATAGTGGTGATAAAAATTTGGTTAATTTTGGCCTTTTTAGAGGGTTTCCAGTTTCTTTGAAACAAGTGATCGAAAAAAGGAAGACATACCTAGGAGCGTAGAATGAGTATAATCATATTTTATCCCACCAAAAACATTCTGTAAAAAACTAGTCAAGTCTCGATGGAGCTGCTTGTTTATCTCTAAAAAGTAATGAAATCTAGACAAAGTCGTGCCAAGTCTAAGGTTCCTCACTGCGATTTCTTTATTATTATAATAATGGTTCGTGCTAGGGCGCGCTAGAGCGCGCCCTGTAAAACATACCTATTACCTGCGTTGAAGTCAAACAGCCAAGGGAACGCAGCAAAATAGTCGTTTCAAATACGACCAGTACCCCTAGCACGAACCAATATCGAATTCGAATAGTTTGCGAGTGTGAAATGTCATTGTGAAATGTGTACTGATTTTTAGTTCTCGTTACGTACTTTGTGGAGCTGCTGTTCAAGTTTCCATACGAAATTTTGCTGCGTTTCCTTGGCTGTTTGACTTCAACGCAGGTAATGTGTTGTACAAGGCGCGCTCTGTGTGGCGACGCTTAAAAAATCTTGAAATTCGGTTTTCCCTTTAGGGTACAGTGAAAATAAATGTTCGCTTCCTAGTCTCAGCTCGCAGCTGTATTATCTATACTAATATTATAAAGCTGCAGAGTTTGTTTGTTTGTTTGTTTGTTTGGTCGAGCGCGCTAATCTCTGGAACTACTGGTCCGATTTGAATGATTCTTTCAGTGTTGGGTAGTCCATTTATCGAGGAAGGCTATAGGCTATTTTTATTATTTTTTTTCAAAATTAGGGATCCGTAATAAAATTGCTATTTTGTAACACAAGGTGTAAAATCGAAAACCTATTTTTGCGTGCGCTGCAAAAACTATTGACAATAGAACAAAATGATGTACTACGGGTTTGTAGATCCCATTAAGACCTACAAAAAAGTCCGCGAGAACATATATCTAGCTATCATGGTTTAATCACAATAACCGATTTTGTGTTCAAAATAATTATTAAATCGTCTGAAGAAAAAAAACTACGTTAAATATGTATCGTAATATTAATCTTTATCAAGTATGTAGTATGTATGTATGTATAAGTAAAATACTTTTTGTTTCATCTCAATCGGATATTTCGTTTAAAAGTTATCACGTGTGTAAGATGTTAAGAGTTGGTACCTATTAATGAGTTATGGGCCATAGAGTTTTTTATCAACATAAAATCCTGTAATAATCTTTTTCGAAATATATTTGTTGATGATTGTAAGTATAAGATCTTAGAAGAGTATAATAAACGAGAAAAACGCGGGTGAAACCGCGGGGCACGGCTAGTAGTAATATATAAGGTATTTACGGGATTGTTACCATGTACCTTGTTATATCAATTACTCCGTGATCATGGCGCCTGCAACAGTGCCGAAATATCGGAAACACGCTAAAAACAAGGTACATGGTAACAATCCCGTAAATAACTTATATTACTATAATGTTAGTGACCATGAAAAATTAAAACAATACGCAGTTGTATTGTTTTACGTTTGCCATGAAATATTAAAACTTATGTTATAGGAGTTAGAGTTGAAATTAAATTGCTAACCTCTCAATATTTTCACCGCATCCCTCCCAGTGTGAAATTGGACAATTTTCAGCTCAAACTTATGTTTCGTATAAAACAATACTTAAATACTATTAGATCGGAAGTAACTAATTTATTATCGTTCTTATCGTAAGCGACACTTCCATATGTAAATTCTTTCATTATGTGATGTAAATGTTTCCATATGTGTTGGTAATTAAGTTCATAATTGCTTGGCAATTGGTTTGACCTCACATGAACCACTTCGCGACGGAAGAGCCTTGTGCATAGTATGAATAATGAGATGATTTTATAAGATCATATAAATAGTTATTTATAAAAGGTACTACATCTAATCATATAAGTATTTAAATATATATATACTTAACTCGATGGCGCAAGTGGTTAGCGCGTTCGGCTGCGATCGTTGAAGTTAAGCAACTTTCGCAGTGGTCGGTCATTGGATGGGTGACCAAATATTTACTATATCTATTTAACGTGCTTCGGAAGGCACGTTAAGCCGTTGGTCCCGGCTGCATGTGCAGTCGTCAGCACCCACCAATCCGAATTAGGCCCGCGTGGTGGGTCATGGCCCAATCTCCCTATTCCATCCATTGGGAAGGCCTGCCCCAGCAGTGGGGACATTAATAGGCTGATGATGATGAATAATATACTATCCAAAAAACTGAATCCTGATTCACTTGCCCGATATTTCTTAAACAAAAACCGGCTAAGTGCGTGTGTAGGGTTCCCCGTTGTTTCTCGTTGGGGAGGGGGGGGGGGGGGGGGGGGGGGGGGTGACAGGCTCGCATTGCACAAGCTCTCTGGATGTCGATGCCCCTAATGCTCCGGGGCATCTTCTTCGGGGCGGGTCCTTCACGGACAATCACCTTGCGGGTGCGTGGCCAGTAGGAAATCGGGTGCCACGACCACGCCTGCACTCCTGGCGCGCATTGGGGGGGACCTCGGTCCCCAGAATGCGTGCCGGATGAACGGTGCAGGAGCATTGTCTGGTTTTAGTGGCCCTGTTCAGAGCTATAGGTAGGGCCCTACTGATTTTATCCGGCCCAAGGGCAGGCTGAAATGAGCAGGGAGGATTCCCACTGTGGTTGACTTTTCGGCGGGATCGGGAAGCGTCACTTTAGCAGTTTTGCTTTTTTTGTTAAAAATTGTGTTGTGGCGGATGTTAGTGTCTAATAATGGTGGATTATTAACCACTAAGTGTTCGGGAACACGCACACGAGTTGGCAAGTGAAACAAAATAGCGGAAAGTGTCTTTCGACGTTCCCTCAAGAAGTCCACGGGGAGGTTCCAGTAAATCCCCACACATTTACTGAAACATAGGGAAAGGGGGATTGACTTGACTGCCACTTACTTTGACTTGATTTATTACTTTGATCACGAGTTTATTTGTAAACATTTGACATTAGCTAAATGCACAAGCCGTGCAAAGCCATTTAGAAAAAAAAAAGTTTCATGCAGGATCGATGTCGCTAAGTGCGCTTAAACGTGATTCATGTAAGTTGATTTTTCTGAGAGATAAACTTTTTTAATGTAATATAAATTGTCATGTTTGTGTACGATAGCGCAATAAATAAATATTGTATTCTACCACATACATGATAATACTTTTATACTGATAATTTAAGTAATTCGTGCAAAATTATTCCCTAACCATTCCAAAATATCAAAAATGCACAACGTTAATATTCAAGTTTTCACTTCTGCCGGCACTCCCGGAGTGCAACCTGTCGTTTTTTCTTGTCTCTAGTAGTTCCCGTGTCACTTGTGTAGGTAGGTACCATCAAAAAACAAACATATGACTTTTTGTCTGGA